CCAGCCAGCTACCAGCTCTGGGCATCACTGTTCACATCAGCTTAATGAGGGCTTGCCTTCTCCCCTGCTGCCGGCCCAGCGCCTGGGACCCTCACATTGACCCTGTGCAGGGTTTCCCAGACTGACTTGAACTTTTTCCTCAGAGCAGCCGGTGGGTTTGAACTGCCCACCTTTCCCTTGGCAGCCTACGGCCTAATCCACAGCACCACCAGGGCTCCTTAGCAGTCGGCCCAGTGTTCCCTAGTGTGCAGCGTCAATGAAGAGCTAATCAGCCCTTGTCTAGGCAATAGGAGCCCTGGTGGAGCAGTGGTTGAGCGCTCGGCTGCCACCTACAAGGTCAAGCTGCAGGAGATAGGTGTGGCAGTGTGCTCTGTTAAGGCAGCAACCCGGAAGCGCTGGGGCTGCGCTGTCCCGCCCTACCGGGTCACTGTGCGTTAGCATCCACTGGCGAGCAGTGGATTCCGTGGTGGTGGCTTTTTGCCTGTTTGTTGATCTCACAGAGGCAGTACCTGTGTCTGGCCCCAGGGAGGGAGTCCCCAAGGAGTGTGTGTGTGTTGGGGGTGGAGGTGGGGCGCATGGGGAGGGGTGGGAAGCAGGCCAGTTTCTCCAATGCCAGGTTCTAATGAGACGAAGCCAAACACCCACGATGCACTGCGTGCGTCCAGAGGGAGCCCCCTGGGGCCCTGCCACCTTTTCTCCCTGAGTTCACCTGCCTCCTTAGTGGCCTGGACCACACAGGTGGTCCAACAGGGTGTGGAGGTGCCTAAGACTGGACACTGGCGTGGTAGAGAGGCCAGCGCTTCTAGAACAGCATCTGGTGGGCAGTGGTTTGCTGATCTCCTGCAGGGAGGGATGGACGTTGGACCAAAGGAGTACCTTCCCTGGACCCCAGCTGGGAGGCCTGGGGTGAGGACGGTGCTTCTGTGCCCCCTCGCTGGGGGTTCTCGCCATCAGTTTATGCCAGACAACAGTGTTAGGACCCTCCTCTCAGTTCTGCCTCCTTAGCCTGTGTCCCCTGAGTGCCACTCCCCACTAGCTTTGCTCCCCGGTGCCCAGCATGGGCCGTGATGTGTGCTGTGAACCCCTGCCTCCCTGCCCAGCTACAGTGTGCCCCCTGGCTCCACCTGCTGCTGTGTTGAGGGCAGATGACGGATCGGGGGACACCTGTGGCCTTACCCTTCCGATTTCATAGCTGGCTTCAAAAAACTGACCAGCAGCCCAGGGGTCCCTGTTCCTCACTGCAGTCTGCCTGTTCTCTATCTTCAAATCGCAACAACTGTGTGTGGGGGGCTGGGGGCTGGGGTCACAGTGGGTTAAGCATTCAGCTGCTAGTCACAGAGTTGGCAGTTCAAGCCTCCTGGCTTTCTGTGGGAGAAAGGTGAGGCTGTGGGCTCCCACAGAGGTTCACAGCAATGGCAATAGGCTTCTCTCTGTGTTTGTTTGTGTGTGTGTGTGTGTGTGTGTCCTGAGTGGAGAGATAGGGACCGGCTGACCTTCCACTTCTGCCTTCAGACCATCCAGACTCAGGATTTCTAGACCCCTGGGTCCACCTTCCCAGGCCTGGGAGGTGGGTGGAGGGCTCGCTGGGTGTGTGGCCCAGTCTATGTTTCAGGGGCATGGTGCTCACCAATCCCGGGACCCAGGGTGTGTGTGTGTAAATCACGTGGACAGATGGGGTGCCCTGATGCCCCAGCAGAGCCCTGTGGCCTCCACTCCTAGGTGTACACTGTGCCTGGTCAGGGACACGGTTCATCTGCAGATGTAAGTAACGGGAGTGGGGGCTGCCAGGTACCGCGATGGAGAGGAAAATGCCTGCACTGGGGCTGGGGCTGTGCAGGGACCAGCTGCCCGTGTCTGACCCTCAGGGGCTTCTCTGCCCCAGGAAAGGGCCTCTCACTCGCCCTTCTTCCCTCAGGTGACACCTTCTCTTTCAAGTACAGCCCGGGGAAGCTGCGGGGCAACCAGTACAAGCAGATGATGACCAAGGAGGAGCTGTGCGAGGAGCAGAGGTAGGCAGGCCACGCTCCCTGCTCAGGTGGAGGCGGAGGCGGGGCAGCCACAAACCACGCCCCTATTGGCCCAGCCCTCTCGTCCTGGGTCCGAGCTCCTGACCTAGAACCCTGGTGGGGTAGTGGGTTAGGCGTGGGGCTGCAGTGCGAACCCACGCGCAGTTGTGCGCGAGAAAGATGAGGCTGAGCCTCGTTAACTGGGCAGCTCTTCTCTGCCCTCTAGGATGGCTACGGGTCAGAATGGACTCGCCGGCAGGGAATTTGGTTTAGTCTTCTGCCAAAGAGCCCCGGTGGTGCTGTGGTTTAGGCACTACTGGGCTGCTAGCCACAAGGTCGATGGTTCGAACACACCAGAAAGGTGAGGCAGCCGGCTTCTGCAAAGATGTCCAGCTTGGGAAATTATAGGGAGCGGTTCACCTCTAGGAGCTAAGGGTCACTCTGAGTCCTTACCGACTCGAGGACGGTGTGTTTGGTTTTGGATAATTCAGCCAAAAAGAGTCCTGGTAGTGCAGGGTTTAAGTGCTGAGCTGCTAAGCCAAATCCCGGAGAGGGGACCCACCCGCGAGCACGGGAGAAAGACGTGGCAGCAGCTTCTATAGAGGACAGCGCCGGGCACCCAGTGGGGACAGATCTGCCCTCTCCTGTAGGGTCGCCCCTGTGAGTGAGAAGACACACATGCACACAGCCACCATCTTGAAGCCGAGCCCAGGGTTCCTGGGGAGCCCACGAGGGAGGGGGCTGGGGGTAGGGGGTAGGAGGGGAGGGAGGATCCTTCTGCCGGTTCCCCTCCCCCAGGGAAGAAGCCTCAGCAGATCCACGCGTTTATTCACTCCAGCGAGTTCATGACAAAACCAGTTTGTCAGCGGGGACAATGCGGGTGCTCAGCCCCCTGCCTACCCCCACCCCCCACCCCCTCCTCCGCCTGCCTGCGATTACACTCCATGGGGCCCAGGCGCACCCTGCCACCTGCAGTCACCCCTGGGCTTCCCGTAGCGTTTGCTCGGATCCATCTGGCTTGCGAGGGTGGCTGGGGGCCATTCTGGAAGCAAGGCTGTGGGAGACCGTAGGTGATGGGCCCGAGCCCAGCCCCTCTCCTGTGCACCCAGGCTGGCCGGCCACGCCCCAAAGCCTGCGTCTAAAGGGGCTGCAGGCATACGCCCTGAGCGAATGCCCCCCACCCCCACCCACCATCGGCCCAGAAGGTTATGGTTTCCGGACGCTTGCCCCTGAGAATCCACGCCACCCTCCTGGGCGCCTGGGTGCTGGCTCCTTCCGATTGCCTCACTCTCCTTGGAAGGTGCCCCCGCCTGTGCCCCCCGCCCCCGGCCCGGTCAGATGACAGTGCCTCTTGCTGTGACCCAGTGTGCTGCCCTTCTGTTGCAGGATTGAGCTGACCGCGGACCTCACTTCCCTGTAGCCAGCTCCCTAGGTCCTGAGCCACAAAAACCCTTGCAAATTCTTTTGGTAAGGAGATTGGTCCCCTAGACTAGCTTCCTCATCCTGTGCTAATGCGTCCGAGCACAGCTGACTGTCTAAACCTCCCCCACCCCCACCCCTCCATAACCAGTTAATAGCCCCTGAGCTCCGCCTCCTGCTCGAACTCCCAGAAGCCCCTCTCGTGTGGGCCGTGGGCCCAGCTTCCCCCTGGTGAGGCTGGGGAGAACTGCAGTGGCTGCGCTGTCCAGTGCAGATGCTGCCCCTGCTGGGTTGGGGGCGAGGGGTGGTGGGGGTCATGGCATGGCCCAGGCTGGCGCTGCTGATCTGGCCGTGAGACGTAGCGCAGGGTCAACCCCCCCCCCCCCAAACATCTGTGCCCCTGAGTTGTGGCACGGGCAGGTTTTTGTGATGAGAACCAGGGCTTGCAAACGACATACAAGGTCCGAGGGCCAGATCTGGCCCACCTGCGGGCGGTCACTGCTGTCCCTGTTTCCGCGGCTGCGTTTGTGTTATGGTGACAGAGTTGAGACCGTGTGGTCCATGACACCTAAAATGATCACTACCCAGCCCTTACTGGAGCAGTTGGCAGCCTCTGGGGCGGGGATGGAGTCTGCCGTGCAGCCCCTCTCCTGGCCCTTGTTACATCTGCTCAGGTTCACTGTGCTCTAGAGGGGACAGAGCCCTAGGACAGGACAGGTGGTGGACCAGAGGCCAAACTGGGGTGAGATGCGACTCCACTGAGCTGGGAAACGGGGAGGGAGATTCCCTCCTGCGATTTTCAGGGCGAGCAGAGGCTCCTTTGCGGGCTGCCCCCCACCCACCTCCCAGCCTCTGAGCTACCAGCTTCTACTTTTCAATTCTGAGGGATGGAGGCCGTGCCCCTTGGGTGAACAGGGCACCCTTGCTCCCTCACCTGCAGTCACCTCCCATCCCCAGGCCGAGAGGGTCGGGTGGACTTCCTGTCCCAAGAGAACGGTTCTTGAGGCGTGGCAGCAGGAGTTCATGCCCATTTTCGTTCCTGCCAACCCAGCATGCTCCCTGCAGTTCCCTGACATGTATGTGCCCTCGGCACCTGCCTGCTCCCGCCTGCCCTGCATGTGCTCAGCCCAGCATGGGCCCTGCCCTGCCCTGTCCTTCCCTGCCCTGTCCCTGGAATGCTGGTGCTTGGGGTCGCAGAGGCTGGTCTGTTTGGCTTGGTCTTTTCATCTACAGCACGATAGTTCGCACGGGGTCAGGGGCGCTGGCGGGTGCTAGGGTCGCCCCATGGCCGGCGGGAAGCAGCATCACCTGTAGCTTATAGCTGAGCCACCAGGAGCACAGCAGGGAGAGGCCGGCCCTTGCCCTTCTCCTGCAAGTAGTCCTTGGGCAAACTGGGGCCTATTTCCCACTGCCTTTCTGGCCCTCAGGGCGCCCCCCAATCAAGTTGCACACCAGTTAGCGGAGAAGTGCGACAAGTCCCCACCCCTAAATCTAGACTGAGGTCACCCTCAGTCGCTGGAGCCTGGATGCAGAGTGCTTACTTCCTAGGCTTGCTCAGGGCATCTGTCAAAGACCGTCTGCCCACTCTCCCAGAACCTCCTTGCGCCTGGTTTCAGGCGGAGGAGATTAGAAAGCAGGGAGCCCCCTGCTGAGACCTTACCTTACAATCCTTTTGAGTAATCTCATCCTCAGAACTGCTCGTCTGTCCCGTTCCTGCGCCCGAGAGACAGAAAGTGGTCCCATTGGCAAATGTAGAGGTGCCACATAAAAAGGCCAGGCGGTGGCCGCCTGCCCACCTGTCTTCCCAGGCACCTCTTTTCTCAGTGCACACAGTTCCACTGGCATGAGCAGGGTCTGCTGGGGACGTCCCTGGGGTCCAGTGCAGCTGTTCCAGGAGGTGCCACCCCAGCTCTGAGGGCGGAGCCCCTGCCCTCACTGGCGAGGCTGGCAAGGCCTGGCTGGAAGTAACAGCCGTGTGACCGTCCATCTGTCCACTGCTGTATGCCATCAGTCCTTCCCACCTTTCCGCCCAGAGCAGAAACTGAGAACGGAGGCTGCAGACCAGCCTGGCCCATGGGCCAGGACCCAGAGCCCCAGCGTGAGCTGTGAGAGGACTGTCCTTTCCTGGAAATGGCCCTGACTCCAGAAGACAGGGTTTGATGCGGTCTCAGGGAAGGCGGACGCTCCCCACTGGACTGGGCTGTTTCTAGCACACTTACTCTGACACTCCAGAAGAGGGCGCCAGAGGACAAGCCCAGATGCCCGGGACTCAGTGCACTGGTGAGCTCCCTGCTCCTCTAGCCTTGCCGAGAGGTGGGCGCCCTGTTGGCCTCACCCAGGGAGCATGTGTGGCCGCAGTGCCGGTATCCACAGAGGGACGAACCGCAGCTCTCGGGTCTAGGAACTGAGCTAAGGGCTGAGGGGCGCTTGCCAGCCCCAGCCAGCTTTATGGAGCATTCTATCTTGCTGCAAGAGATGAGAAGGAAAATCCTCGGTGTGCAGAAAAACCTACGTTCCCGCGTCCTGTGGCTTCTGCAATCCCAAGCTTCCTCCTCCCTCACCCTGTCCCCACCCCTGCCCCCCTCTCCTCTCTTCCCACGGTGTTTAAAAGATGGAACAAGTGCAACAAGTTACCTTTTTTTCTCCCATTTCTCTGCAGAACCGAAGAATAACGAAGTTATCCCTAGCTTCCTCTAAAGCCTTGTCCTTTGGGCGTCTTGAAAGCTAGAGAGAGCAAAGTGGAAGCCCCCCAGAGGGCAGGTCTGCAGGCAGGCTCTGGGGGGCGCACTTACTGGCACGGAGACCCCGGGTCAGGAAACTCCCCTTGGCCAGACCATACCTTTGGCTCTTGGGTGTTCACACCCCTGCCCCACACCAGTTCCCTTGGCTACGATGAAAGGGTTTCCGAGGTTTATTTCAGACGACCCTGGGCTTAGCTGTGTTGTTTTTGAAACCACTTACTGTGTTTTCTCCTCCCGTAATGCAAACGCACGCACATGACCCACACAGATCTCATCAGGGCGAATGCGGGAGGCTGCCGCAGGGTGTGCAAAGGCCGGCCTTCGCGTGTGCACTGTCTGCATCCAAACGCAGTCATCAGGCGCTTCGTGTGAGAACCGGGTGCCAGCAGAGTCCACTCTGCCTCGCAGCGACAGTGAGGGGTGGGGGGGCTCCACGGGGTCTTCAGCGGCTGAATCTTCAGAAGCGGACTGCCAGGCCTTTCTTCATAGGTGCCCCGGGCTGGACTTGAGCCTGCAACCTTTTGGCTAGCAGAAGAGAGAGCGTGCACTATCCAAACCACCCGGGGACGCCCTCCACGCCCCGGGTATCATCCGTTGCAGCGACTTTGATGTTTTCTATTCAGACTAGCCATTCCTCCCAGAACTCCCCGCTTCCTTTGACAGACGCATGAGGCAGAGCTCCCCCTCCCCCCCCCAGCTAGCTGACTCAGTGGAGGTTGTTGTCCATCTTTCTTCCCCATGGGGGGGTGGGGGGCTCACACGCATGCAGATCCCTCCTCCTCTCCAGCTGGCTCAGCCGTCGGGGACAGAGATGCCATACCGATGGCTGGGCTGCAGAGAGCAGGGCAGGTGCTAAGCTGGACCACTGTCCTTGTTTTTCTCTTCGAGGCCACCCTTGTCGCTAAGGGGCCTGTCCACTGATGCTCTCACCAGCTCAGCAGGATCACCACCTTCCCGGGCGGAAGCAGTCATGGTCCCGTCCATTCAGAGACTCTGCCTTTCCTGGGGGACTTCCTAGATGGGTTAGCACTTTCCCAGATGAACAGACTCACTGCCAGTCCGGCTGGCATCGGGGTTAACGAGTTGGGGCTGCTACCTGAAAGGTCAGCAGTTCAAAACCACCAGCTACCCCCTTGGGAGAAGGCTGCGTCTTTCGCCTCCCGTAAAGACGTACGGCCTCGGAAACCCACAGGGACAGGTCTACCCTGTCCTGTAGCATCACCAGGAACCGAGGGAATGATCAGAGCGGCCCCAAGTGCGTTTCTCGGGTTTTATATCTGACAGTATATCAAATGTATTGGTAGTTCTTAGACTGTATTGGTAAGCAGTAACTCTTATATTCCTCCTCCTCCCCCTATCGAACTTTAACAAAGCCCAGGAATGTCAGTGTCCTCGCTGAGCGAGAGCATGTGACCTTCCACTGCTGGTGACCCTCTCCGGGCCTTACACCTTCAGTCCAGGGGTTGGGGGCCAGACAGCCGCACAGTGGACGCCCTCCACACCGAGCCACCTGACGACGAGAAGACAGACTCTGGTGACCACACATGTCCCCAGACAACAACAGCAATAGCCTCTTGTCCGGACAGGTCCCGCCTGGGCCCGTGCTCGGGGGCGGTACCTCCAGTCTTTGTTGAGTCCAATAAACGTTGAGTAGACCGTCTTGAAGATGCCGTGTTTCTTCGGTTCTGCTCTGTTGGGGGCCCTTGTGTTTTAAGTCTCTTTCGAATCTGTTCAAGCGTGAGCTCCATGCTGACGCCCCCTCACCCCCCAGTGAACGGTGACATCAGAGCCGTCCCATGCACAGAGCCGTGCGTGTTCGCTGAGGGAGAACGTGCTGGGTTGTGTGGTTCTGTCAAAGGAGCTCCAAACACACCCTGTGTCTCCCGTGGGCTCCACGGACTGGCTCGTCCTCAGCCCCCCTTCTCCTGGCAGGAAAGCTGGCCTTGGGGGTGACCTTCCACGGTGACAGTGACCCTGGGAATCAAGCCGTGAGCATCTAGAACCTGTTCTAGATGCCGCTCTCGTGAACGCCAGCCTTTTTTGTCTGCGTGGAAGACGGGGGTGGAGGCAGCCGGGCTTATAGCGGGAGCTTTAGGTTGGGGCAAAACCAGGCAGATTGGAGGCCGGTGTTGGGGATGCGGGGCTGGAAGCTGCAGCAAAGCCTGGAGGGACAACAGCTGGGGAGGGGGAGAGGTGCTCTCTCTCGAGGTGCTGAAGGTGGCCTGTGCCTAGCGGTGGAATGGGAGCCTGGGGAGGGAGAGCCAGGACGCTGTGCCCAGCAGGCATGAGTGCAGCCCCCGGGCACAGCAGACAGAACCGGAACTTTGGTGCCGGCTGGGAAATTCCACCTGGATGCCTGTGCGTGTATGTGTCCATCCGGGGACGCACCCTTTGCTGGTCAAACAGCCGAGGATGCTCCCTGCCACGGCTCCTTCGCTGGTCAGGCAGGCTGCCCGGCTGGTCATTTGGATAGGGTGGCTGCTCCCTGCGGGAGCCTACAGGAAGAAGCAGAGGGCGGCCCTGGCTGACACCCCACAGGCTGAGTCTCAGCCCAGCCTCACCCCATGGGCCCAGCACCCCTGTGGGCACCCACCTTCCCACTAACCCAGCCAGCGCTGGCTCTCCTGCTTTGTAACAAAGCTGCTCCCAACCTGTCTTTGTCAGCTCACACGTCCCTCCGTGGGACTTGCCGCGTAGGGCGCCATCAGTGCGCTGGTGAGACATAAGGGGAGGCAAGGGGACCCTAAGGGGACCTCAACCCTCCGGGGGAAACTAAGGTTCTAAACTATTTAGAACCTTCTACGGAGGGAGGCGGTTTTGTGTGGTCATGTCACCATTCTTTGCTATTGTTCTGTTTCCACTCTGGAAAGCAGACGTGGCCCCTACGGAAGCGTGTGCCGCTAGCCGGCCCTGTCCACGGTGTGTCCCCGCCACGAGGCGGGGCCGCCATCTTCCTTGTCCTTTCTTGGCAGAGTCCAGAGAGAGCAGCTGGACGCCATCTTCAAGCTGATGAAGGACAACCAGGAGACGTTTGGCGAGATGTCCGATGGGGACTTGCAGGAACAGCTCCGGCTCTACGACATGTAGGCCGTCAGCCGGCCAGCCCCCCACCGCCCCGAGATGACCATGCCGGACGTCTGCCCCACCCACCACCCACTTCTCATTACCAGACTGTCAGCTCGCCCTTATCTCCTGCCCATCAGCGTGGACGCCTGTGGCCTGCAGGCGTGGGGTTCTGTGGGGTTCTAAAGAGGAGAGAGGTCCCTGGCCCTTGGGCCTCTGCCCACTGGTGAGGTCCCACCTGCGCCACAGGAAGGCTCCCCCCCACCCCAGGCTGCCCTCGGAGCAAAATGAACTCTCTCCCACAGGCCCAGGGCAGCCCGCAGCCTGGACTGGACCCAGGGCTTCTACAGGAGAGAGAAATGGGACACAGTGGGTGAGGGTTGAGCTGCTGACTGGACGGGGGGTGGGTTGAACCCAGCAGCTTCCCCAAGGCTGCTTGTGTCGGTAAAGATGACAGCCAACCTGGGAAACCCTGGGGGCCAATTGCCGCCAGTCAGCATGGACTTGCTGGCTTGGCTTGGCTTGGCTTTGAAGAAGATCACCCAGCCCCACAGCTGAGGCTGCAGACTGGTAACCGGGCAGGCGCACCACATTCTGCCCGCGGAGGATTGCCTCTAGCTCCTCTGGTGGTCAGGCCGCAGGTTAGAGTGGGGGTTCTTCTAGCAAAAAGTCTCCTTCAAAACTCCTCTTCCCCACCGCCCTTCACGATTTAGGATCCTGTAAGGCAAGAGTGGGGAAACCGTTTTTTTTCCCCCTGCCAAAGCCCATTTAGCTATTGATGCCATCATTCGAAGGCCATATAAGTCAAACGTTGAATTCACGCACCCTAACGTGATGGCTGGGGGTCCTGGTGGCGCAATGGTTACGCACTGGGCTTCGATCCCCGATCCCCGTGGGCAGCAGTTCAAAACCACCAGCAGCTCTGAAGGAGAAACACTGGACTTTCTACT